CACCCTTAGCGGCGCTTGCGGCGCCGCCACTGGCGCGCACAGGGGAGGGGGCCCAGGGCGGACCCAAGGAACCCGCGTTGATCTCCGAAAGCGTATGTTTGTGATATGTTTCTTGTATGACCCATTGCTCTCTTGCTGACCCTAGGACCCTAGGAGGGCCCTTCTGGTTGCTGCTGGGCCCTCTCCCCCGCGTCTTAGGATGCAACTCCGAGGTTAAATTCAACATCGTTGCTGGTACATACTGATTCCGACCATGTCCGTTTAATTCTATGTAATCCAGTTTCCTACAAGATGTTTCTGAATTTATCCTCGAGCCCGTGTCCTCCCAGACATCCTCTCATGCACGTTTGTTTCATTCGGAGCTAATTCTGAGTCCCGCATAACGATCCCCAGAAGCCAAGATCGAGGACACATTCTAAGATTGAACTTAGTATAGCGAAGGTCCCAACCATATGCAGTGGAAACTACGGGAGGGGGCGAACAAAAAATTAAGACGTGCGTGAGAAGGACGGTGCGACGTTGCTGATGGAGTCGCAGAGGTCGGCCGTGACGGGGTACATCTGGACGTAACCCGTTACGGCTGATCTGCGCGTTTGTCGACACGGCCCTAGTGAGCAGCAGGCGGCAAACCCTTTCGGTGGAGATCTTCATGGAGCCACGAAGCGTGTGACGGGGTGGGCAGAAATGGCCGCGGTCACGCATGCGATTCTTGCCACTGGAGCCGTCGGTGGAGCCTCCGCGCCACGAGTCGTGCCAGGGATGTGAGCGCCCTGTGGGTCCAGGAAACTGTTGAATGGTTTGCCGATGTTGGCGACGTGACGCATGCGATTCTTGCCACAAGAGCTTTCGGCGGAGCTCCCCATGGGGCCGCGAAACGTGCGATTGGGGTGTGCCGAAATGGGCGCGGTCACGCATGCGATTCCTGCAAATGGAACTTTCGGTGAAGCTCCCTATGGGTCCACGAAGCGTGGGAACGGTGTGCCGAAATCGGCGCTGTCAACCACGCGACTCCTGTCACTGTGGCTTCTAGTGGAGCTCCCAGTGGGGCCACGGAACGTGTGAGGGGTGTGCCAAAATGGGCGCGGTCATGCATGCGATTCCTGCCACTGGGGCCTTCGGTGGAACTCCCTGTGGGGCCACGAAACGGGTCAGGTGTTGGCCGGAACGCCATTCTTGTCGTTGTTGATGAGGTTGTTGTTGCTGATGGTGGTGGTGCTGCTGTTGTTGATGGTGATGATGACGGCTGAGATGATGGCAGAGATGATGAGATTGATTATGTTGATGATGGTGATGATTGGGCTGATGCAGATGATGATTCTAATGTTGATGAGCATGATGATGATGGTGATGATTATGGTGGTGACGATGATGCTGGTGATGATGATTACGATGATGCTGCTGCTGAGGTTGATGATGATGATGATGTTGTTGCTGCTGCTGATGATGATTATGATGCTGATGATGATGATGATGATGATGATGATGATGATGATGATGATGATGATGATGAGTCGGTTGCTGCTGCTGACGGTTGGGTTGATGCTGATGTTAATGAGGGTGATGATGGTAACGTCGCTAATGCAGATGAGTGTGATGATAACGATGACGCTCAGAAGGGGGAGGGGGAGGAGGAAGAAAGAAAGGAAGGACGGACGCAGGGCGATGTGTTCAAAACGAGTGCCCAACACCGCAGGATAGTTGGGAGCAATCTGTTTGGTCTGTGGCCAGATGGGTCCAACAAGCGGTCAAGTAAACACGGCGGGGCGCATCCGTGGCGAGGTGAGGCACAGGGGCGCAGGCGGGCGAAGGGCGAGGGACCACGATCAAGGGAGGAAAACCCACCCTGACCCGAAAACTGGCGTTTACTCAACGGCCCTGGGCGTTTACTGAACAGCCCTGCCCCGTTCGATTCCTTCTGTGGGTGCGTTTGCCAAAGGGCTTCGCGTGCTGGAGTGATTCTTGTGGGGGTGGAGTTGCTGCCCTCTACGTGAGCTCGAGCAAGCCTACCCTCGGAGATCTGGGTGCTGGGTCCGCTCCCCCCGGGCCGTGCAGGGCGCGCCGCCAGAGCGGGAGCGGCGGCAGGCAGTGGCTCGCCTCCTTCAGCGGGCAGCTCGGCTTCAGCCCGATCCGCAACGAGGTGTTCAAGCTCGCGGACCTGCCGCGCGCCGGGGCGCGCAAGGAGCACGCACGGGTCGAGGAGGCGCGTCGGAGTGGAGACCGGTCAAGAGGAGGAGGCACGCGCGCTGGCGCGCTGGCGTAAGTGGCTCTGCGGCGTGTCGGGCTCACGATGCGCGATGGTTTTGTCGAGGAGGAGGGAGGAGGAGGAGGAGGAGGAGGAGGGGGAGGAGGAGGACCCAGACGTGCTCGTGTCGTGAAGAAGTTACGGCGGAAGGTGTTTGGTCGTTCTCGGCCTTCCAGGGCCTCGCCAGGCCCCAGGACCGTCAAAAAGTCTACGGGATGAAAACCGGCACTGGCGAAAGGGTCGGGAGTTTCGAGGACCCGCATTGACAAACATGAAGACGTCGGATGTGTGGGGACAAGAAGAAGACAACCGTCCAGAAGGTGTCGTGCGCTCCTGCTCCCCCATCCTTCCCCCTCCCTTGTGCGGCTTGGACTTCGATGTACATTTGGATGTAGATCGAGATGTGAATGCAGATTCGCATGTGGTACTGAATGTAGAATCGCAAGTCAACGTGCATGATGGTTTGCATTTAAATCTGGAATATAATTCGCATATCGATGTGTGTGATGGTGCAACTGTCGTAGCTCGCTGTGCAAATCGGTTTGGGAGTCGATGTGCATGCAAATGTACATGTTGATGTACGTTTCGAGTGGCATGTCCATTATGATGTGCAGGCGTTGGTTGAATTGAGGTCCGAGTTCCATGTTGTCAGCAGTTGGATTTCGATCTTCATTTCGACTGGCATTTCGAGTTTCGATTCGACTTGAATGTCAATTCGCACTTCGATTTGCAATCCTATGGTATTTCTCACGCGACGACCACGGGAACAACCGCGGGACAACCGCCGGACAACCCAGGGGACAACCGCGGGGCAACCACGGAACAGCCCACGGGACTACCAGGGGACAGCCATAGGATGACGCACAGGACAACCATGGGACAGCTCAGATCTGCCCACACGCCGTCATCGCCGCTGCCGCGCAGCTTCGCCCCGCCCGCACGCACGACAGGAACCGAAACCAAGTCCGATCTCTCGTCCAGGGTCGCTTCGCTGGCATCCCCCCCACCTCTGATGCCCTCAGCCGCCTCGATACGCCCGTTTTGAGACGCAGCACGCACTGTGCTGCAAGCGTCCGTGTCGGCACGTTGCGTGCTGGTTCAGCGTATTGGCCCACGGTCTTGGCGAACGTACCGCGTCATACCGACGTGCTCAGTCTACGTGGGAGATTCCGGAAACCCTGAACCCAAAAACGTCTTCGTCTCTTGGGGGCGTATCTTTGATTTCCCCCGCCTTCCGCTGGCGGAGGCGCCCTCGTTTTGCTTCCGCCGACCGTCCCCCGCCCCTCCGCCGCCTTCCGCCGCGGAAGGGACGGCGATTCCTTTGATCCTCGAGGGCGAGGCCCTCTTTGGAACGCCTCGCGTGTTGGGCTCCGTGTGCGTACATACGCTGCGTGCGTGCTGCGTGTGGTGTATCGGGGCAGCTACGTAGGCTGATGCCCTTTCTCCGAGCGGCCTTTCCTGTCCGGCGCCCCGCGGCCTGAGCCTGACCCTGGTGCTCGTCGCCCCGAGAGTTGGCCGAAGAAGAAAAAACTGCATAAACATACAGAGGAAGCCCATGCCAAGAAACACCTTGCTTGCCTCCAGGGTGCCCTGGGATTCTTTGGTTTCGAGGGTTTCTGCTGTGGAAAGCGCGACGTCCCCACACCCAAAAGCAATGGACGTCCTGGGGTCTTAGGGTTGGGGGTCTCAGGATTGGGTTTCGTGTGGAAGGCTTCTTGTGGACTGGCCTCTACTGTAAACTTTCGGAGCTCCGCGCGGATTCCTTGGATCTGCGCTGGGGCCCCTCGGCGGCCCCTCCTGCGCCGCCCCCAGCGCGCTCCGCGCGCCAGGGAGGGTGCCCCAGCGCAGATCCAAGACACCCGCGCGGAGCGCCAAAAGTTTGTGCTCCTGCCGTCGGGAGCAGCAAGCCTGGTGTCGCTTACTCCCCCTCCGGTTGGAACACATGGCAGCCGCGCGCCCCGCGCTGCGCACGGTGCGGCCGCATCGCCTGCCGAGCAGCTGGATCGGCTCGGCCGGCTCCCGCCGCCGCCGCCGCCGCCGTCGCGCTCTGCCCGTGGGGCTGCCTGCGGCCCGCCGGCTTCCGCCGTCCGGCTCCTCCGTCCTCGGCTCGGCCTCGTCCTCGGGTCGTGCGGCCGCCCCGCGGGCGGCCTCGGTGGGCCGATGCTGCCGCCGCCTCCAGAGCGAGGGTCAGAGGAGGAAGATGCGGGACGGGAAAATGACCACAGCCACTGCTTCTTGTTTGCGCCGCCTTCCAGCCGGTCGAAAAAGAAGCAGTGGTTGTGGTCAATTCCTTCATGCCGAGCTTAACAAAAATGACCACAACCACTGCTTTGTTTCTGCTGGCTGGAAGGCGGCAACAAAAGAAAAGCAGTGGCTTTGGTCGTATTCACGTCCCGTAGAAGAGGTACCCATCCCTCTACCCTCTCCTCGTTTTCCCCTTTTTGGGGCCTCCTCGGAGGCCCTCGTTGCCACCGCTGGATTTGAGTCGCTTCGGACTTTTGGTCAGAACGCACCCCGGGAGAGGTCCGGGGGGGCGATATCGGGACCTGTTTGGTTGCCCGGAGAGCCGAGGGGGCTTCTGCAGCAGTGCCTGGCGCAGTTTGCGCGGCAAGGCTGAGCTTGAAGGAGGGTCCTCCTGTCCTCCTTCCCCCCTCCCTGCCTCTGTCCTTCATCTGTCCCTCTTCCTCCTTCCTTGTCTCTTCCTCCAGCAACGCTTCACGATGTGTTGTGTACTCCACCTCGCAGGGCGGGTTCTTTCCCGAATCGGGCGATCGCAAGCGCGCTTCGCCTCCGTCGGCGTCACCGTCGCCGCCGTCTTGGCCGCGGTGCGTGCTGCTATGCTCGGGAGCTGCTCCGCACTGCAGGGACCACCACACCCCTCCTCTGCCAGAGCCGCCGCCTCAACGAGACCCCGCGGCGCTCCGCGGCGCCCGACGGGGGTGCTCGGCGGCACGCGCGCTTGCCGCGCGCGCGCCCGCGCGGATCGGTTCGCCCTGCCCGTCCAGATCCGCTGGCCTACGCCGCGGGCATGGCGGGCGCCGTCGCCGACGGCGTGCTCGTGGCGCTGGCCCAGTCCAAGATGGGGCGCGCCCGGCGCCACGGCGCCTCCCGCGCGGCGGCGGCCCTGCAGGAGGAGCTCGCCCTCATCGGCGCCGCCCTGGAGGCCGCCGACGGGGACGACGCGCGGGCGGTGCTGGCCGAGTTCTGGGAGGAGGCGGACGAGGCCCTCGCCCAGGCCTCAGTGTCTGCCGATCCCGCGATCGGCGATCCGCGCGCAGTGATCGGGGTACAGCGTGATCGCCGCTCCCGTGACCGGCCCAGCTTGATCACGCGACCGTCCGAGCCGGAATGCGCGGCCGATCCGCGACCGACGCGGCAGCCATCGTGACCACGTGTGCCTGGGCGGCGTGATCGGCCCAGTGATCCGCCAGACGCCGAGGTCCAGGCCCTCGCCGCGCCCACCGCCACGGCGGCCGCGGCCCCGCCGCGGCCCGCGGGCGCGCTGGGGCTGGCGGGCCGGCCCGGCGCCGGGGCGGAGGTGCGCGCGGCCCTGCAGGCCGCCGTCGCCCGCGGCGACCGCGGCTGGCCCGCCGACGGCTGCCGCGAGAGCGCCGCCGCGCCGCCGGCGGCCTCGCAGGGCCCGCCGGCGCCGCGGGCGCCGCTGCCCACGCCCTGCCGGGGCGCGCAGGCGCCGGCCGAGGGCGGGGCGCCTGCCGCGGGCTGCCCGGCCGCGGCGCCGCGGGCCTCGTTTTGCCCAAGCCGTGGCGAGGCGTCCAGGCTTTGCCTGTCGGCCCACCAGGGGATGTTCTAAGAGCCCCTTCGTTCGTGCGCTCTGCACGGCACGTTCCTGGGGCGTCTCCGGCCCAGGCCGTCGTGCCTTCGACCACGTGCGTGCGCGTTTTTACGTTCGAGGGGCATGTTTTGAGAGAGCGCTTCTTTGGTTCTGAGAGCAGTCAGTGGTAGGCCTATAGGGGAGTCCGGGCGGAGTCCATGCTTCCGAAAAGCGGAGTGATGGCACCGACATTGGCGCGCAAGGTCGCGCGCCAGCGCCTTCGTCTTCCATGTGGCGTGCCACGATTGCGGCCCGCGTGAGCCACCAAGACCTTCATCCTTTCCCCGAAGAAGAAATAACGCCGTACAAATAACTTTTGGCGCTCCGCGCGGCTTTCTTGGATCTGCGCTGGCCCCCCCCCGGCGGCGCCTCCGGGGGCTCCAGCGCGGATCCAAGAATTCCGCGCGGAGCGCCAAAAGTTTATGTTTATGGCGTTTATCTTCTTCTTCTTCTGCACATTGGGTCGGAGTGGATGGGGTCGGAGGATCGCGCCGCATCGCAGATGCATTTGCGGTGCGCCTCGAGGTGGAGCCCGATGTTCGCCACACCGACGTCGCCGATGCATCGCCGACGTCGCTAGTGATGCAGTGGCGATGCACCGGCGATGCGGCGCGACCTTGCGACCCCATCTTTTCGGACCCTATCTGGGAGGCCCCTAGTTGGATCTTCGGGGGGCCTCGTCCCCAGACATGCTAGCGTCGTGAACAAAGTGCGGCAACGGGGGTGTTGGAAGGTTCTCGGCCTCTGGGGAGCCTCGCCGGGCCCCGAGTTCGGCAAGAAAACGACTCGCGATGAAAAGCCGGCCCCGGGGAAAGCGTCGGGACTTCAGAGGACCCCGTATCGAAAAAATCCAGACCTCGCAAGTCTGGGTCCATCCCCAAGATTGGTCTCGTTTCTTGTGCCCGCCGCGGGCTCGATGCGGACCCGACGCGGATTTGGCGCGGATGCGATGTGGATTCGACGCGGATCCGACGAGTGCGACATGGATTCGGCACGGAGTCCACGCAGACAGAAGCGCATCGGGACAGGCACGGCCCCCCGAAGCTGCCACACGACGGCGGCAGGCGGGCGGCTTCCGGCCCGCCTCCGAGCTGCTGCCGCGGGCGCCGCCCGCGAGGCCCGAGGAGTGCAGGCCGCGCGTCTCCATGGGCGACGTGTCTCGGTCCGTCTGCAGGGGCGGCGGCAGTGACGGCGGCGGGCCCCGCCCGGCGCGGGCCGGCGGCGGCGGGGCCGAGGGGAGGGGCCGGGACTGGTCCGACGAGTGGCTGCGCATCGCCGACCCGGACCAGCTGGAGCGCATCGTCCCCGCCCTCGAGGCCACGATCCACCGCGCCAGCGGCGCCGACGCCGTCTCCCGTGCGGACATCTCCGGCCTGGAGTTCGTCAAGTCGCAGATCGAGGAGGTGCTGATCTTGCCGCAGCTGCACCCGCACCTCTTCGCCTCCGCGCTCACGCGCCCCGCCCGTGGGCTTCTCCTCTTCGGACCCCCCGGCACAGGGAAGACGCTGCTGGCCAGATGGATTGCGAGCGAGTGCGGGGCGACCTTCTTCAACGTCAACGCCTCCAGCGTCCTGTCGAAGTGGATCGGCGAGGCGGAGAAGACCGTGAAGGCACTTTTCCGGCTGGCCGCCGAGCGGCAGCCCTCGGTCATCTTCATCGACGAGATCGACTCGCTGCTCAGTCAGCGCCGCGACGCGGACAACGAGTCCTCCCGCCGCGTCAAGAACGAGTTCCTCACCAGCCTGGAGGGCGCCGAGACCTCCTCGCAGGAGAAGCTGCTGCTCGTGGGCGCCACGAACATGCCCTGGGAGCTCGACCCTGCCGCGCTGCGCCGGCTGCCGAAGCGGCTCTACGTGCCGCTGCCCGGGCGGGGCGCGCGGGAGGCGCTGCTGCGCCGTCAGCTGGCGAGGCACAACGTGGACTCCGGCCTCCGGGGCGCGCTGCGCGAGGAGGACCTCGCCGACGTCGCGGCGCCCGAGGAAGGACAAAGCCACAGAAGCACGATGAGATGTTCGGAGGCCCGCGCGAGTTCCGCGGATCTCCATGCGCATACGTGGTGCAGTAATGATACGTGGTGCCACCTAGAGGCGGCAACGAGGCGGCAACGGGCGGCAACGTGGCGAAACCTCCCGGGACCCACCCAGCGCACGAGGCGGCAACGAGGCGGCAACGGGCGGCCACGTGGCGAAACCTCCCGGGACCCACCCAGCGCACGAGGCGGCAACGAGGCGGCAACGGGCGGCCATGTGGCGAAACCTCCCCGGACCCACCCAGCGCACGAAGTGGCAACGAGGCGGCAACGGGCGGCAGCGTGGCGAGACCTCGGCATATACCCACCCAAGTGCTCAGCAATCGAAGCAAGAGCCCCTGAGTGCAAGCACTGCTTGGGGCATGTGCCCGTGCCGTTGCTTCTTCGCTTTCCAGGCACGCACGGCGGGCTATTCCGGCTCGGACCTGCAGACGCTGCTGCAGGAGGTGGCCATGGGCCCCGTGCGCGAGGCGAGCGCGGCGCTGCTGCGCCGCAAGCGCCCGCGCCTGGAGGCCGGCACCACCCGAGCGCACTGATGCCCTGTGCGTGCATCGGCCCCGCAGGGGCGACGCGAGCGTTCAGAAGTCTGATGCCATAAGCTAGGCCTCCTAGACGGGGTCGGAGTTGATGGGGTCGGAGGATCGCGCCGCATCGCCGATGCATCGCCAATGCGGCCCGATGTGGAACCCGATTTGCTTCACGTCGACGTCGCCGATGCATCGCCCACGTCGGCGATGCATCGCCAGTGCATCGCCGATGCATGGCCGATGCATCGGCGATGCGGCGCGATCCTCTGACCCCATCTACTTCGACTCATCCAGGAGGCCTCTACATAGGCTGCCCTCAGATCTGGGCGCTGCATTTTCTTTGAATCTGGCGCAGTCTCTGGGTGTCGGGCCCCGGGACCCTCACAAGTCGATCCGGCTCGAGGACTGGCGCAGAATGATGAAGTCTAGGGCGCCGATCGTGATTTCCTACAATGTTGCATCTGTTTCGCAACGTCGGATCTCAGGGTAGGTGGCAGGCGCTTTATGGCCACGGGTAACGGTATCAGAGTGAGGGGGCCGAAAGGTCCTTCATTGTCCGTGGGCGCGTGACAGAAGTGAGGTTCCGCGGAGCGTATTCTGCTTTTTGTTGCCCATGTCCTAAGATGTGTTTCTTGCTATTACTTAGACGCTTCTAGACCTTATTCCTCTGTCCTCTTCTCCTTCTCTTCTTGTTTCATTCTCATATAGTGAAAACCGCATAACCATCACGGGGTCCATCACAGACCTGACAGACCAACTTGTTTGGCGGGTCCCATCACATGATCGTTCTTACTTACGCATACTCAAAAACATCACTCCTTCACTCAGACTCACTCAGATTCGGATTCACTCAGACCCACTCAGGGGAGTAGCCTCGGACGCATTCCCATTCATCCAAATACAGAGCTCACCACGCCGACACGTTCTTTCTCATTCCAGCTCCCTCAGAGTTTTCGGGCGGTCCACTGCTCACCGCGACATAGCAGGCGTGGCACTTGGGCACCCGACGGGGGAGTCGCCAGGGGTGATAACACTCCAAATGTCGCATCCAGATTGCGGGAATGTCTCGTGCAGTTCGCCTATGTCTGCCCCCAGTCTTTTCTCTCTTGGTGGATCCATGCTCACTGCGATCTAGCAGGCGTGGCACTTGGGCACCCCAGGGGAGGAGGAGCCACCAGGGGGGAGCACATTCCAAACGTCGCATCCAGAGTGTGCGTCGCGTCCAGATCGCGGAGATGTCTCCAGCAGTTCGCCTGCTTCAGCCCCCTCAGTCAGATCTATTCATTTGAGTGGTCCAGTTTTCACCGCGATATAGCAGGCGTGGCATTTGGGCACCGCGGAGGGGAGCCGCCAGGGGTGAACACACTCCGGAAGTCGCGCCAAGATTGAGGTTTGCCCGTTTCTGCCCCCGCTCGCCGCGATGTAGCAGGCGCGGCACTTGGACACCCCAAGGGGGAGCCCCCAGGGGCGAAGACACTGCAGGTGTGGCGCCCCGATCGTGGGCATGTCTCGAGCGGTCTGCCTCTTTATGCCCGCCAGGGCTTTCTGCTGTACTTGTCCCGTGTTCCCCGCGATATCGCAGGCGCTGCACTCGGGCACCCCGGGGGGGGAGCCGCCAGGGGAAAGCACACTCCAAGATCCGCGCCCGAATTGCCAGGATGTCTCTAGCTGCTCGTGCCAGTGTTTTGCTTGTGTCCTTCGGGCCAGGTCGCCTGGTCGGTTAGCTCGCGCGCGTTCCGTTCGCATCACGAACCAAGCGAACAGAGATTGCGAAGCAGATCCGAAACCTGATCGAGAGGGCCACAGGAAGAAGGGAACAGGGGGGGAAGGGAAAAGCGGTTTGCTTCTGTCTGCTCCCCCAGGCATTTCTTTGTTGTCCAGTGCTCCCCGCGATGTAGCAGGCGTGGCAGTTGGGCATCCCCAAGCGTTGGAGCCGCCAGGGGCGAAGACACACTCCAGAATCGCGTTCGGACTGTGGGGATGCCTCCCGCGGTTTGCCTGCTTCTGCCCCCCAAACTTTTTTGGGGTGGTCCAGTGCTCACCGCGATATAGCAGGCGTGGTACTTTGGCACCCCACAGGAGGAGCCGCCAGGGATGAGGACACCCCAGAAATCGCGTCCAGATTGTTGGGAAGTCTCACGCGGTTTGCCTGGTTCTACCTTCCAGACTTTTTTTGTGGTCGTCCAAATCCCACCGGGGCCGCCAGGAGCGGGGACACTTCAGGATTCGCGCCAAGCTTGTGTGGATGTCTCGAGTGGTTTTCCTGTTTCTGCCTTGCAGGCTTTTCTCTGGACTTGTGTACTCGCCCTCTCACCTCCTCCCCGAGAGGTAGAAACATACAATTTTCTTTGAGAAGCCCTGGCCAGAGAGGGCCCGAAACTCGGGGAGGATGAGATTTCTTCGTCATTTAGCACTAGAAGGGATCTTTCAGAACAGTCTTGCCGCCAGTTACGGATGCCGGAACGGCTGTTTCGCCAGAGGGTCCCTCGCAATTTAGCGCGACAGGGGGGTCGTTCAGAACAGTCTTGCCGCTTGAGACGCCACTGCAATTTAGCACCATGAGGTGGTCGTTCAGAACCAGGTTCCTGCTACTCGCGGATGCCTGAACGGCCTTTTCGCTTGAGACTCCCTCGCAATCTAGCACCACAGGGGGTCCTTCAGAGCAGTCTTGCTGCTACTCGCGGGTGCCAGGGCGGCCTTTTCGCCTCAGGTTTCTTACGTATTTCAGCAACCCAGGGGAAATCCGTCAGAGCAAGCTTGCTGCTACAAGCGGAAGCACTAGAAGGGGGGGTTCTTTCGGCCCTCCCGCCCCCAGGAGGCCTCAGGAGGCCCCAGGAGGCCCCAGGAAGCGTTTTCTGTATTTGGGATCTGTGTTCGGGGAGCGTTCTTCGGCCCCTCCGCTCCCAGGAGCCCCCAGGAAGCATTTTGCTATATTACATTATGCGTTCGTGGAACGCTTTTCGGCCCCTCGGCCCCCAGGAGGCCCCAAAAGGCCCCATGAGGCACTTTTCTGTTTTGAGATGTGTGTTCGAGGAGTGCTTTTTGGCTTCCCGCTGGCTTCGCCCCCATGTGCGTTGCCCCATAGGCTTCGCCGCCCCTTTCCTGGGGCTCGAATCCTGCTTGTGTTTTAGTGTTTTCCGCACATTATTATATCTAGCCCCTCGCTCGAATCCTTTTTTCCTACCGGTTGCCCCTCGACTGGGGCTCGAATCCATCGTGCTTTATGTATGTTCTTATATCTATTGCCCCTCCACTGGGGCTCCAATCCTTTCTGCTTGATTTATGCTTCCATAGATTGCCCCTCGACTGGGGCTCAAGTCCTCATGTGTTTTGCGTGTGCTCCTGTGCATTGCCCCTCTCAAGTGTCTCGGGCACTTCGTGTTCGAATCCTCACCGCTCCCTCGCACTGGTTTGTTGGTGTGTCCTGCGAGCCGAGGGTGGGAATGTGCCTCGGGAGAGGTGCTGGCTCCACCTCCTTGGGCGGGCGATCTGGAGACCTGGGCGAGGGAATTTCGGTCGCCTTTTTCATGCGCTTCCCCCAGGACGGAGTGACATCCTGATGGACGCATGTGGCATGTAAAAGCATGGTGCGTGAGGCCAAATTGACTGCTGTTGTTGCTGCTGCCGTCGCCCTCGCCCACGACCTGCCCGCGGCCCACCCCCGACGCACCCAGCGGCCCACACCCCGACCCACCCGCGACCCACCTGCGACCCATCGCGCGCCCGCTCCCCGACTCTCGTCCGCAGCTGTGGAGCGCTGCGTGTCACGAAACGTTTGGACTGCAAGTCTGCTTCGGGCGCGCGTTTGCCACAGGAGCGCGCAGCACAGTCAAGCCGCATCATAGGGGTGGGCAACCTTCCCAAGGGTACCCTGGCATCCTTGCCCCTTCGGCCATCCTTGGCCGCTTTCGCTGGCCGCGCCCCGCTCGCAGGGAGTCGGCATGGCCTTCCAAGGCCCTTGCATCCTTACCGCACATCCTCATGATACGGGTTGACTGTACCCCAGGTCTCTTAGTAAGCGTGGGAGGCAGCCCATCGACGGGAGTCAACCTCGCCTCGTCGTCGCGCCGCGACGGGGGTCGGAGCGCTTTCGGCGAGCGGTGGCTGCCCACGACGGGAGTCGATGTGGGGCTGTCGGCAGGGGTGACGCCCCCCCGACGCTTATCAAGAAACTCGGGATACGTAGCATTCGGGAAACTAGCAATGACAGAAACATAAACACTCGGCGGTCCGCGCGGATGCCTCGGATCGGCGTTGGAGCCCCCTCCCTGGCGCGCGGAGCGCGCCGGAGGGCGGCGCCGGAGGCGCCGCCAGGGGCCTCGAGCGCCGATCCGAGAACTCCGCGCGGACTTCCGAGTTTGTACGTGTATGTCATTCGTCGTTCCCCTGAGTCTGCCCTTCCCGCGTCCCAGGAGGGGGAGCCCAGGGGCAGCGGCGCGGAGGCGGCGAGGCCGCGCGATATCGAGCGGCGCGATTTCGAGTGCGCCATGCGGCGGGTGAAGCCGAGCTTCAACAGCGCCGAGGACGAGAGGAGGCAAAGGTATGCCAGAAACGCTACAGCCGTCCCGCATGGTAAGGTAAGTCGGGCCTGTCCCTATACAGGATGAACATTCAGGAAATAATAAAGAAATTGATTGTTTTTGGAAATTAGTATGTTTGGACTCTTTTTCGTTTTTCGCCCGAGATCCCCTTGTAGGAGGACATGCCCGATCTAAGGCTACAGTCAACCCGCATGGTAAGGACGGGCAACCTTCCCAAGGCTACCCTCTAGGCCTCCCAGATGGGGTCGGAGCAGATGGGGTCGGAGGATCGCGCCGCATTGCGGATGCATCGCTGATGCGGCTCGACGCGGCGCCCGAGTTATTTCACGTCGACGTCACCGATGCACCGCCGACGTCGACGATGCATCGCTGGTGCATCGCCGATGCATCGCCGATGTATCGCCGATGTATCAGCGATGCGGCGCGATCCTGCGACCCCATGTGCTCCGACCAAATGTAGGAGGCCTCTCAAGGCTACCCTTGTATCCTTGCCCATTCGGCCCATCCTCAACGACTTTCGCTGGCCAACCTCGTTCGAAAAACGTTCGCATGGACCTCCAAGGCCCTTGCATCCTCACCGCGCATCCCTATGATACGGGTCGACTGAACACCAACCGCGCGACCCGTCCTTCGCCGGGGCTGGCTTCGCCTCGAAATCCTGCTCAGAACGCTCCCCGGGAGGGGGAGGACCATTTTTGAGGCACCAGAAAAGACTTTCCGACTCCGCAGTCGCCCCGTCCGGAAGTCGGCCAGTCGGCCAGTCGGCCAGTCAGAGTCGGCCAGGGACAGGGGGGGAGTCGGGTAGTTAATCCTGGTGCCCCAAAAACTTTCCAAATGCCCGGGAGGGGTCTCCGGAGCAGCGGTATGGGTGCCTTGCTCTTGGCATCGATTTGGCGTGTGCATGTTTCTCGGCGAGGCCAATGCCAGAAAAGCCGGACCAACTTGGAGCTTCGTGGCCCGTCTTCAGAGAACACACGAAGCCAAGCAATGCGCGGGGAAAGGACGGCCGAGCGATGGCAAGTTTTACCTCCCCAGAGGAGCTGAAGCACCGCGAGTTCAACGAGGAGCACGGCACCTGCCGGGGGGAGGACGCCATGCGCGACGCCGACAGCGACGGCCTTCGGGGGCCATGTCAGAGGGGGTCGAACGGGGCTAGGACGAGGAGAAATCCGTTCCAGAGCGTTCCGGCACGCTCTCAGAGCGTTCCGGAACGCTCTGAGAAGGCCGCGGCGCCCGACACATCCCCCAGATCCGCCAGATCTCAGAGTTCCTCGATTTATTTGTACCCGATGTTATCCTCGTCTCAGCTCCGTCTTGGGGGGATAGGCTCAGGGGGTGCATCCACCCCCCTGTCGCCCATCCCACGCCGATGGGGGCACGATAGCCCCCCCCCCGCACACCACCCAGGACTCCAGGCCCAAGAGCCGACCCACCCCACCCAGGAGCGCGTGGATTTGCTGCGAGGGGCCCATCGCCGACCTGTCGGCGATGCATCGCCGATTCCATGCGGACCTGTTCCCCCCGAGCCAGTCCCCCGCCCGCCTCGAAATCAGCCGCAAGCTTTTGATGTTGGTCGACGCGCGAATCACGGCCCACGGGGTCACATTTTTGTGTTCGCCGTCGCCAGCTTCGGCGCGAGCCTTGACATTTTGAGGCCCTGGGGCGCCGCCACGCCGCGGGGAAAACTAGCGTTTGATTTCGAGGGGGGAGCGGCGTCGCCCAAACATACTAGTACTATGTGTGCGTCGCCCCCCCTTGGGACGACGCGCGCACCGAGAAATCTCGTAGTACATGCGTCGTGGCGGGTGCCTTCTGGCCACACCGCCCGGGGACCGATATACTACAAGATGGGTATGCAATATGTTCGAGTCGGACGCGCGCCTCCAAGGCGGACATGCAGTATTAGTATGTCTCTGTGCGTCCCAGGGGATGTGACACTGCCCCATCAGGCCCGCAGGGCGACGAAGGGTGACGGCGGGCAGTGCCGCCCCTCGTCGAGCACACCCGGAGGCGTTGGGGCTGCCTCTGAGGGCCGCGGGCGCTGCGGGGGGGGGGGCGCCC